CGTCAGTCACGACTGACGTAACGTCTCCGTTCCCTCCTTCAGGGAACGAGGGTTACACAAGTAACCGAGACGTTCCACCCCCATAGGCCTTATGTTAGGTGTGCGTATTGTGTGTGTGTGTGTGTGTTCTGTCCAAATGTGTGGATGTCTCCAGCAGAGATCTGGACTGAGCTGCGTGATTCATTCTCCTGCAGGGCTCTGACTGTCAGCTTCATTTAAACTGATCGTTCTATCAATCATGCACAAATGCATGCAAATATAAGGGAGTTTAGTCAACGGTGTATTGAAGCTACAGTATAACTTACATATACTATTTATATATTGTCATTATTATTTATAAAATGCATATATATGTATGTCATTACTAAATTTATGCAGTTAATTAACAGAGTACCATATTTTCCACACTGTAAATCATGTTGTGATGGTAAACTATGATTTACCAATATGTGTGTGTGTGTGTTTTCCACTAAACAATGGACATTTTGACCCATTGTAATGTACTTTTTAATCAGGTATGACTTATTTTCCAGAAAATACAGTAGTAATATTTATTTATTTATTTATTTAATTATTTATTTATATTTGTGGCTAAAAGCAAACAGACAAGGTATTTATTTAATTAGATTTTTCTCATCATTCTCATCTTTTCTCACTCTCATGTCATTCCAAACATGTGCACTTTTCTTTGCTTTTTTTGTGTGCTTCACAGTCCCTGGTAACTATATGCTTTTGCCGTATGGAAAAGAGCAACGTGACCATTCAAAATATCAAATTTTGCATTCAACACAAGACAGACATATGAATTTGGTGTGACACAGTAAGCTTTCTTTAAGCTCCTTCTACTAATAATAGCACAGAACAGCAGAGAAAAACATCCAGTGGCAATTGCTTCTGTTTATGACATCTATCGGGCCCAGGATTGACCCCTGTGGTGCCCCAACTAGTGCAATAGAGAATGCCTCATGTGCAGGCTTGCGTTCACATTTGCCACCCCCCCCAAACCATTAATTAGATTGAAATAACACAATCTTTTTGACATTTTATGATATTAGGAAGCAAAAACATTAGGTAAAGTTTCTGGTGAACTAGAGAACAAGAGACTAATAAGAGAGAGAGAGAGAGAGAGAGAGAATTATATATATATATATATATATATATATATATATATATACGCTCACACACTCCTGGGTTTTTCTCCTTGGTAACCCGCTTCAATCTTTATCTGGAAGCTATTGTTATTAGCAACTACCTTGAAAATACCAATGCATTCATATCAAACTAATGAATTAGTGTTCGCCGTGTGTGTGCGCCATGCGCCCTTGAGATGAAAGGCTTAATTTAAATATTCATGTCTTCTGCAGTCTTTTAGCTTTAATGTGGCGGACATCAACTGGTTTGAGGACGTATGTGGGATGTAAGGGTATTTTGCTGTCTTTTTTCCAGCATTAAACCACATTTATGTGTAAAAATCCATGTGGTGTAGCGTCGCGCTAGCTTCAAAGGAATACCGTCTGTTCTGCATGCATGATGCATGCTGGGTATATATATATATATATATATATATATATACGCTCACACACTCCTGGGTTTTTCTCCTTGGTAACCCGCTTCAATCTTTATCTGGAAGCTATTGTTATTAGCAACTACCTTGAAAATACCAATGCATTCATATCAAACTAATGAATTAGTGTTCGCCGTGTGTGTGCGCCATGCGCCCTTGAGATGAAAGGCTTAATTTAAATATTCATGTCTTCTGCAGTCTTTTAGCTTTAATGTGGCGGACATCAACTGGTTTGAGGACGTATGTGGGATGTAAGGGTATTTTGCTGTCTTTTTTCCAGCATTAAACCACATTTATGTGTAAAAATCCATGTGGTGTAGCGTCGCGCTAGCTTCAAAGGAATACCGTCTGTTCTGCATGCATGATGCATGCTGGGAAGCTGAGAAAGACAACATTTACGAGTAGCTTGTAGCTTACCTCCTCTCGTATCCTTTTCACAGTCTCTCCTTTCTGTAGGGGGAGAAAAAAAGAAGATCATAAAGCACTTATTGCCTTTGTCTCACGTTTGTTTGTGTGATATGTTGTTTTCCCAGAGTGACTGTCTTTCACAATGGCGAGTGAGTTTGACTAGCTGAACAGATAGCTCAAATTAATATCAATTCTGCTTCGCTACACAGCAATATGGCATCTGCATGGATAGGCCTCAGGGGAACAAGTTTTCAAATCGAAGGTCTTGCAATTGGACTGACTAGGGAATCAATAGTCCATGAATCACTTAGATAGCCTCAGATAGTGTCTCGCTATCTCAGACACAGAAGGTAACGTGTGCGGCATAGTCATGACTGCAGATCCCCAGACCTGCTTTTGCACGCTTGACTGGCGTTACATTGTCTTTAGATGGGCTAAAAGGACGATTGGCTATGTCATAACAGAGTTGAAGCAAGGCTTGGGTGGTTTTAATTTATCAGGGAAATTAACATTTCAGATGAGACGTTTTCGAGACCACCCATCTCATAAAACTAGCAAAGTTCTTTAAAACATCAAACTATGATGCATGTAGCAGTGTTTGCAGATGCTTATTAAATAACCTAAATATAGCCTAACCAGTCCCTTTCAGTGTTGACACCATAAAAAAACTGAACAAAAACAAGGCTGCAGAAGAACAGAAGTACAGTTTGTTAAAATATGTCATACAGTTGCGTACTTGTGTGTTGATCGTTCGGCCAATGAAACATTGAACATGCATATATAACAAAATTACTGACGAAAATGTTTTGGTTTTTGTTATTCATCAATGATAATGTTGGGTTATTATAGTTAACTTAATAAATACATAAATAAAATAAATGTTAACTGTAACAAAATAACAAAAAAAGTATTTTATTTCAGCTCATTGCCATAGAAACATTTTTAATTTCTATTTAGTTTAACTTGATGTAGTAAAAAAAAAATACTAGAAATATTTACTATAATTAATTACTTAACTATAATTAATTACTAAAAAAGTTAATTCAAACTATTATTAAAACCGATAATAGCATTTCAGCTACATTAATATCTAGCTTTTTTGTAATTTTATTATTATTATTTTGGTCAAATAAATTCAGAATTGTATACATTTTCGACTACAAAACAAAACAAAAAAAGAAGAAATAAAAAAAAAAAGACTACAACAAATAAAAAACTTAAATTGTTTCTGTGCATACCATTCGTAAAAATACATAAATAAATAAATAATAATTTTGATTCACTACAACAATTTTGCAATACTTGCGTTGTGTATTTCGGCACTACTTGTTGCAGCTAGTCTTTGTTTTCTATTGGTCGATGAGATCCTTTCAGCAGGAAGTGGCAGCTAATCTTGTTCTTGACTTCTTGTTTGGATGTTTTAATCTAATTTTCTTCTGACGATTCACTTTTAGGACATTGCAACATTATTTACTTTTTGTGCAAGACAAAAGAGTGAACTGTGTTTTCGAGAAGTCGTCTTTGCAGCAATGGAGACCCCTGTGGATCTCAGAGTGGTCTGTATCCTTCCATCTGGCTCTTGTCCTGAGCCCAAACTCTGCCAAAGGCCCAGAGACCTATTAGCAGGCCAGTTCTGAAGAGAGCTTTGTGTCACAAGAGATTTATTTGGAGCCAAGGAAATGCCAACAACTGTGTGTATTTGTGCGTGTATGTTTTGTCGCTCCAGGACCTTGAGTTGGCCAAACCAGGAAAACAAAAAAACCCCCCACAAAAATCATCTCATCAGTAGCTGACACACTGTTTACTAATCATTGTGACATCTACATCGGGCCTCTCCAAGAGATTGTGCCATGTTTAGACAATTGCACTCGCTCTAGGGATAAACAGAGCTAGCTGTAAAATTAAGCATCGTAATATATCCAGATCATTAATACATAAGATGCACGACCCGTCGCATTTAACAAGCCATTTGCTAGGAAACATCAAGTCTTATAGTGATCCATTCTGTAGGTTTCTAATCTGGGCTTTTGGATTGTAACCTAAAGGTCTGTGTGAAAGATTGTGAGAACAATCTAATACAGAGGAAAAAGCAAACCCAGTAGCTACAAAAATCTTAAGACGCATCCACCAAATCTAATAAGTCAACAGCAGGGACAACAGGAACAAAGAGATTCGCTCACCTTGCCTATGATGCTGCCGACCTCCTGTGAAAAGAGAAACAAAGCAAATGTCAGCTTATTGATTACCGAGCTCACTCCCCACTCATCCGTCTGTGGGTTTTGATGAGGTAGGCTGGTTTTGGAGTGTTTGTACACTCAGGGATCACATGGGACCATATTAGATCAGGACCCTACAGGCTCCAGAAGCACTCGATACCTTTTAAATGTCCCATCTCGGGTTTAAAGTCAACACAAAATGGTTTTCATAACCCATTTGATTTATGTGACCAAAAAGTACAATATTTCAGGACAAAATTTGGTTTTATCCATCGGGATTTGATTGGATTGCAAAAGTTACTATACACTCTTAAAAACAGAGATTCTTTATTGGCATCAGTGGTTCCATGAAGAATCTTTAAAGGTGACATATCACGAAAATCTGACTTTTCCAGGTTTTAAGTGCTATAATCAGGTCCCTGGTGCATCTACCAACCAAGGAAACGTAAAAAAGATTAACCCAGTAACTTTGTTTTGGTAAGCCTTTTTCTGCAAGCGTCTGAGAAAATGAGCGCGTCTGATTTCACTCCCTTGGTGACGTGGCAAATGGATCTCATTATAATATTACCGCCCCTTAAACGCGATTTATTTCCTTAACTTCGTATATCAGAAGTTTAAACTCATATGTTTTAAAACACATGATTTCAGCACGATAAACATGATAATCAGAACCAAAACAGATGTTTTTTAGCAGATACGAGCTGTAATGGTGCAGCTCTATTCTGGAAAAGGGGGCGGGGAGCAGCAGCTCATTTGCATTTAAAGATACAGGCCCGAAAAACAGCATGTTTCTGCTTCCACTCAAAATAGGCATTTTCAAAATTATATAATAAATTATCTGTGGAGTATTTTGAGCTGAAACTTCACAGACACATTCTGGAGACACCAGAGACTTATATTACATATTGTAAAAAGGGGCATAATATGTCTCCTTTAACACCCATGAAACCTTTCAATTCCATTCATGGAAAAAGGTTCATCAGTGTTCTTCACACTAAGAAAAAAAAGTGGTTCTTTTAAGAACTGTTCATTGGGGAACCAACAATGGTGGCTCTTGTGAAAAACCCAGTTTGAAACCTTTATTTTTAAGAGTGTATGATGATTGTTGCAAACCAATTTAAAGGCGGAGCACATTTCATTGTGATTAGATATTAAAAAGCCAGACTTTTTCTTCTTTAGAGTAACATGCACTGATTAACAGTTTAGAGCAAGACTAATGAGCCTAAAAATCACATTTGTGATTTGCGAAAGCGCAATGCATTTTCTCGGAATGATTGTCAAGTGGCTCAACACACTCTATTGGCAATTCGTAACTATTCGTAACTATTGTAAGTTTTGGTGAATTGGTGGCTTATTTAAATGAATTTGTACAATATCATTCTTTGTTTTCGTATGATTTGGTGTAAACACATTTTACGAAAGTACAGATTAGATCATACTAACTGACAGTTAGGTTTAGAGGGGGACTTTCATGCTTGCGCATTTTTCTAAAAATTGTACATTTCCGTACAAATCGCACTGTACGAATATACAAAATCGTCACCTTCATTTTCTCGTGATAACAATTTGGGTGGCTTTTGATTTGTGAAGTATTATAACTTTGACTAGAGTGCAGAAAAAAGTCTGAAGGATGATGTCATGTACCACTTATTACCCTGTGACATCACGTACCAAAGTTTCTAGAAAAGTTTTCAGCAAGGATGTGTGTTTTGAGCTGCCAAAAACAAAAGGCATCACTTAAGTCTTGAATGATCTCTGAGCTTATCCTCATTGGAAGATCAAATCACAATCTGTTGATGGAGAATTAAGGTAAATCGGCATATAAATCATAAATGTGGCAGTTTATTAACGGTTCATTATGTTTTCATTGGTTTTTCATGACTGTTTTTAATGACTCATTCCTTTTTAGTGATATGCAAATGAGAAATATCAAAGAGTTGTAGGCATGTGGGAGGAAATCTGTCACTGGCAGCTGGCTGACAGTTAAACGAACATGTTGACACTGTAATGACATGGAAATGAAATCTACAACCATTTGTTTACGAAGAACTTCAGAGAATTCAAGCAGATTCAAAAAATTGAGAAGACATAAAATACACTGAAGAATCTAGTTGGAAATAATCGTGACATGATTCTCATGCATTTTTTTTTTTTTTTACTAAATTAACACAAGAGTGATATTTAATATTTAATATATCAAAACTCTGTAATAAACAGCAATATTTACATACTGTACATGAGACAAAGAAGAGACATCCCATTTTGGGTCTGCATCAAATTAAGTTCACAAAAGAAATTGTATATGCATAGAAAGCATATTAAATGTAAGTAAAGTGTATAATGTTTTCAAATAACATTTGTGGAAAAAAAAAATTAAAATATGGGTGAAATAATGTCCCATCATCATTCAGCGTAACACGATAAATGTATGTAAAAATGAAACAACATACTTATTCTGACCTGCTGTACTTATTAATATATATATATATATATATACTGTATATATACATTTAAGCATAAGTGATCATACTAAATTCTACTGTATTTTAAATTATTAAAAATGTCTTGCTGACAAATTGGTAAACCTAGTGGTTTGAAGGATATTGGTAAAGATTAGTAAAGATTTAAAATGATCATTAATTAAACAGTCTTTTAATGTCATCTAATGATTCTTGTTCTAAAACTGTTTGATGCTTGAAAAAAAAAATGTCTTTGACCCACATACAATTTTTACAAAAACAATTTATTTTTTGATATTGTTTAACATTGTTTAAATATGTAAAATCCCACATGGGAACTTCAGTGAAAATTACGATGGAAGCAGTCGAATCATTATTTTAATCTGAATCATCAAAATAACGCAAACAAAATCACACTTCCTAATACTATCTACAAGTTAAATCAGAGACTGTATTAAAACATCTCTGTATGAATGGGTTGTGACACGTAAACTAGTCTACATTGCTAACAAAATAACACTGTGCTTCAGTCTGATTATATTTTCATAAGAGGTTTCTGTACAGAGCACAGAGTCATTTTGAAATTTAAAGGGGTCATATGATGCGATTTCAAGTTTTCCTTTCTCTTTGGAGTGTTACAGGCTGTTCGTGAATAGATAAGATCCCTGAAGTTGCAAAGACTAAAGTCTCAAAACCAAAGAGATATTCTTTATCAAAGTTAAGACTCTGCCACACCCCCCTAAAACAGCTCATTCTAACACGCCCCCACATATCTACCTCACTATGTGGAAATATTTGCATAATGCGCCCAAATGTGCACGCAAAGAAAGAAGGCGTGGTTTCAGTAACTGCAGTTAGTGTTGAAGCAGCCATGTCAGGGAGACGCTGTGTGTTTCTAGGCGAAAGCAAAAGCACTTTATTTGGCCTGAGAGGCGGGGCATAGAGGACCTACAATAATGTACAGTATTTGAAAAATAATGTGTTTTTTGAACATTAAAGCATGTCAGCATATTCTGTTATACCAAATACACAAAATAATGATCTTTAAAAAAGCATCATATGACCCCTTTAAACATCGAGCTGCTACTCTCAGGGTCGTCTTGCACTGAAAACACTAAATGTTTGTGGTGGTATGTGCGTGGGTTTACCTTGCCGTGCATGAGCAGCCGGAGAGTTAGAGTGACGTTCATGCCTCCATCTCCAAAATCCTGCTCACAATTCATTCTGACGTGGGATTGGGGCCCAGGGAGACGCATGAAAGATGCTCTACGGATGATGGAATGGGAAGGGAGGGGGGAAGGCAGGACTCTCTCCTTCCACTCACCACTCTGGAACGACAACACACAAAACATCCGTCAATATTTTAACACTGGAACAAAATAATACTTTTAAAATGTTGCAGAAACGCCAACTAGGTCCATATTAATGGGTGTTTTGCCTTCATTGGGACTGAACAGTGAGAGACTGGGACACATGGGAGAGGGTTGGGTGGGATTGGGAAATGACCCCAGCCTAGATTCAAACATGTGGTGGTTTTTGTTTGCCTTGACGGGAGTCCGCATGTCTCACAGCGGTAAATAAGATGATATGTAATAGCCACGCCATCTGCTGTTACGTGCAAAGTGTTCAGTTAAGTGAGGACAACCATGACACGCGGATCCAACAATGGCTCAGCAGCTGAAGGATGACAATGAGGGCTTCTGTTACAGTGCCACCAAAGCCAGTATCACCAATTTAGCCAATCGTACAAAGCAGGAGAGGACGAGTGTAAGTGCTTGCTGAAATCACTCCCGCTGCATGCTCCGCCGTTTTTGGTGACGGCCCAGAAGTGGATTGAGAGGTGATGCTGAGTTCAGCAGTTTTTTTTCTTTTGGATAAAGGAAATTGCAGGTTTTGTTCACCTGTGGGGAGGGGGACAGGCTCTGCTGAGACCATCTGATGGCTTTTTTTAGTTGGTGTGGTGTAACGAGCAGTCGAAAATATCTCAGATAGCAAATCTGAAACAGTTTTGTATCAAATGAGCCATACAAATTTTATATGTGTTCTACAATTCCTGAATCGCACAAACACCCGCACAACGAGAGAGCTGATTTTAGATTTAGTTTGTGATCTGTGAAAAACCAACGTTTTTGGAACAAACAAATGAACATGAATGAATGAATGAATTAATTAATCAATGAATCAATGAATGATATTATAGACCCTTATGACTGTGTGTACATTTCAATAAGTAAAATATCACATAGTTTTACCTTTTTATAACAAAGTTGAAGGTTAGTTCAAAACCATTCTGAAAAATAATAAGATGTGCAAAAATATCACACACACACACACACACACACACACACACACTGTTATACGGTAACTAAATATATATATTACTACTAAAATTACTAAACCAAATAAACTCAAATCACAGCTATATAGAAATATTTTAAACAAAAACTAATAAAAATGAGAAAAGTACAGAATTACTATGAATAAAAAAATAACTGAAACTGACAAAAAAAATAGAACTGAAAAATATGTTTGGCAACTTACTGGATTGAGTTTAAGGGTTTTGTATCGTTTTTTCCAAGTAATTTTTTTATTCATAGTAATTTGATGTGCCTTTTTAAAAATATTTCTATATAAGTTTGATTTGTTTTTATTTCAGTTTTAGTCATTGTTGTGCTTCAACTTACATTTATTTCCATTAGGCATCATTTCTAATTTATTTTTTTGTTTAAGTACTAAAATGACAAAAACTTAAATAAAAACACTGAGTAAATTAAACCTTCTTTAAAATGGTATAAATGCATAAAATTCTAAGAGAATGGCACAACTAGATTTTAAGTGCCTACAAGTAATCAGAGCAAGTCTAATAATTAGAAAAGAAGGGTTTGGGTAAAGAGTTGATCTTGAAAAAAAAAAAAAAAAAGCATTGCAAAATATTTAGTTTGTAACCTCCATCTCCCGAGGGATGGGAATCAAGTCTACTTAACACTCAAAAACTTCCGTCAGCTTCTAAACGTCCTCAAAATTAGCCTGCATGTGTTATAATTTAAAACTTGATTGGCAAGTGTTGCTGAAGCTTCAGGGTGAATGAAATAAGCTCTCGGCTCTCAGAGGAACTGCTATCAGACGTCACGGGGGCTAAATCTGGCATCACAGCATGCTAATGACGAATTCGCTTGAGCAGTTGATGATTCCTAGAATCAAACGCACCAACATCTGCTCGGCGTAACACCACCCAGATTCACCCACGCTGCGGTTTCTGAAATCTGCCGACGGGTTAATTAAAGCTGCGTTTGACGCGGCCGCCCAATTACAGGTGTGGGTGTGTGTTTTCAGATAACATCGGAAGACAGCCAAGATTTCAAAGGGGCAGCACATCAGTCAGTCGGGGCTCTGAAAAACTAGGTCAGAAATCCAAAAAGCGAAGCGGAGAGGCGTCGGTGAGGCCGTCTGCTGGCTGTGTAGGAGTTTGGCAGTGTGTCATTTGGATAGTCATGTCCACGGGTGGTGGTGGTGGCATATGCATGTCATTAGTGCAACGCGATCGCTACTTGTGCCTGTCTCGTTTTTTTTTCTCGTCCCTCAAGGCGATCCACCAACCAATCAGAAGAAGAGACAGGGAGAGGAACGAGAGTGAGATGTTGGTGCCCACTGGTTCACACCTGTGGTCGCCGGGATTTTGCCAAGTTTAATGTGTTTACGGATCTTCTGTTGGTCCTGGAACAACAGTGCTGTCTAAGCAGTGCAATCTCAAAAATGACAATAAACTATTGCACTATGAAATCCATTTCATTCATTCATTCATTCATTCATTCATTCATTCCCCAAATTCAGTTTTAATTTTTTCCCCAAAATTATTTAATGAATGAAATTTAATTAAATAAAAAAGATCTAATAAACTGAATTAATAAAACCGTAGCAATTTAATAATTTATAACAATTTTAACGGTAGTGTCTTATGGAATGTTTTATTTGTTTACATTTTTCTGGATTCCATTTTAATTCATTCAACTTTATTACTCAAAAAGGATGTCTAATCAGTTTAATTCATAAAATTTTAACAATATGGCCCCATGAAATATGTTCAATTCAATCATTCATTCATTCAGCAATTCTGTGTTTTCTGTTTACTTTTTTTCTGGATTGTTTTATATGATTTAATACAAATTTATTGTCAAAAATTGTCAAATGAAAGCATGAAACTTTAACAATTTCATTCATCTTTTAAGATGTAATCGAATGATATTTTTATATGATGTAATACAAATTTATTGTCAAAAATTGTTATCAAATGAAAGCATGAAACTTTAACAATTTCATTCATCTTTTAAGATGTAATCGAATGATATTTGAAAAATCACTTTCTTTTTTGTCAAAGTGCTGCACAATAGAGGTTTACTGTTTAAATTTAATCTTCATTTGACCCTCTAACTCTAGCACTCTCTATTCTTACTACTTGTTTTCTTTGTAAAAAAGAGCCTCTAACATTAGCATTCTCTATTCTTTTTACTTGTTTTATTTTTATTTAAAAAAAGAGCCTCTAACAGTAGCGTTCCCTATTCTTTTTCTATTCTATCTATTTGTTTTTCTTTTTATTTATTATATTTAAAAAAAACAACCTTGCTGCGTGTACTGCGTTAGGCTAACCGAGACATGTCACAGCACTTACATATTATTGCCGTTTTGTTGGTTTTGATTGCTTCTATTGTCCTCATTTGTAAGTCGCTTTGGATAAAACCGTCTGCTAAATGACTAAATGCAAATGTAAATTAAAACATGGATGAAAAAATGGGATGTTCCTAAATAATAATTTAATAAACTTTATTATAATGACTATAATTATAAAATAGTAATATATTTTTGCCTTAATTTCGTCGAATTAAAGGGATGTTTATTTTGGCGGGTTGTAATTTGTATCTGACTATAGTTTTAACAAATGAAATCTTTTTTTGTGTTTAAAATTCACAGAAACTTTAGTGTTTGGTTAATGTAACCGAATTACAAAATGCCAGATGGAAATTGTCATCATGTCATCAATAAATATGTCCATTGTACGTTTTTTCATGCCAGATCACGATAATAAAAAGCTGCTGCTAAAGATGTCAGGTTTCAAATGGTCTTTGTTCCCACCAGGCCTAAAAGAACCTCAGTCAAGAGGGTTATAACTATGTCTAGGCCTAAATGAGCCATGAACGTGGCTAAATATATCATACTACGGCAAAATAGTGAGTGAAGAAATAAAGATGTTTCTAACAAATCCAAAGCTTTCATTAAACCAAGAAAGGTATGCAAATGATGTCGGTAGATATGAAAAAACTGCCTGACCTCGTTTGAATAAAAAAAATTCAGTCCTGAATGTTAAAGGAACACTCCACTATTTTTGAGAATAGGCTCATTTTCCAACTCGCCTAGAGTTAAACAGTTGAGTTTTACCGTTTTCGAATCCATTCAGCCGATCTCCGGGTCTGGCGGTAGCACTTTTAGCTGTAGCTTAGCATAGATAATTGAATCGGATTAGACCGTTAGCATCTCGCTCAAAAATGACCAAAGAGTTTCTATATTTTTCCTATTTAAAACTTGACTCTTCTGTAGTTACATCGTGTACTAAAACCGACGGAAAATGAAAAGTTGCGATTTTCTAGGCCGATATGGCTAGGAACTATACTCTCATTCCGGCGTAATAATCAAGGAACTTTGCTGCCGTACCATGGGTGCCGCAGGTGCAATGATATTACGCAGCGCCTGAAAATAGTCCCCAGCAAGCTCCCTGTGCAAGCAAGTGGTCACGTTGGTTATGTTGACGGAAGTTCGCCTATTTTATCATTTATCAATATCATTACGCCGGAATGAGAGTATAGTTCCTAGCCATATCGGCTTAGACTTTTCATTTTCCGTCGGTCTTAGCACACGATGTAACTACAGAAGAGTCAAGTTTTAAATAGGAAAAATATAGAAACTCTTTGGTCATTTTTGAGCGAGATGCTAACGGTCTAATCAGATTCAATGATCTATGCTAAGCTACAGCTAAAAGTGCTACCGCCAGACCCGGAGATCGGCTGAATGGATTCGAAAACGGTAAAACTCAACTGTTTAACTCTAGGGGAGTTGGAAAATGAGCCTATTTTCAAAAATAGTGGAGTGTTCCTTTAAGGTTCCCAGCCAATAATCAATTACATAAAATTGTTAAACCTTATTACAGCTGATTATTCACAGCCACTAAACCACAGATATAAACCTCTAACCGTAAATCAAACCTGGAATGTTGTTTCTGGACCACCAAGGATGTTTATCCAGGAACATTTGCTACTGTGAGGTTACTGACACCTATATA